AGTATAAGATGGCTCTTGTAACTCAAAGTTTCACACAGTATTTTTTTAGAGCATTATGGTAGCAACTTTTGAACAGTTATGAATAGTAGACCTAAAGACAGCGATCTCATAGGCAGAGTTATTGGCTCCATTCTTCTTGTTGTTGCAAAAGCCAATTTTTACCACAGTGCTTTATTTCATATTTCCTTTCTTAGAAGGAAATAGCTAGAATGAAAACCAAAAATCATAGAAAAGATGGCATGGCATTACTGCTAGAGAGTTCCTAAATGCTGTGCTAATGGATCCGCAAAGAGATGCAGAAAAAAAGATTGTCTGAACATACCAGATTTATTAAGATGCCATTAAGCTTCATTCACAGATAAATGGAGTTTTGTCTGACTCCTCACTGAAAGCCCACAGAACAGAACAGGAAAATTTATGCCCATCTGCAAGCAGCACACCTAATCTCCTAACAAACCCCCATTGCAATCTGTGGGAATAAACTAACCTTTCCCAAAGAGAACAGCTGGTCACCATGGGCAACAAGTAAATACAGGGATTATTAGACTCTTTTCTTTCTCAGATCACTTTGGAAGAATATCTTTTGTTCCAGACAAGACTCAAATCTGTTTCAAAAAACAGCATAGTACAGTAGCCACAAATACCATGAAATAAATCTCAGAATCCACAAGAAAAAAAGGTAGGAAGTCCTGCTGACAGAACTGCAACACATACTCCTATTACAATATTATGATTATTTTTTATCATAAATTAAAATAGTAAAATAAACTAAAAATTAAAAAGCTCACCAAATAGGACAACTTGGTTTCCTTCAGAAACGGTCATTGTTCTTATTTTGCTTGGAAATACCTGTATTTAACTTCAAGTTTCCTCTTCATTTTATCAGTGATGCATTTCCGTTTCTGTGAATCTAATTTCCTAATGAATTTCTTGGAAAATCTAGGCACATATTGATCATGCTCTGAATTACGTGGCATGGTTTTGTCCATAATTAAAAAGAACGAAAGGATACAGGAGAAAGGCAAATTGCAAATGCTAATCATGCCTTTCCAAGGGCTGGTTTACTGTCAATGACACTCGCATTCATTACAGCGCATCCAGGTTACCCGAAGAGCTGATTTCCCAGTGAGGACTCATCTACTAATTTAAGATTGCTCATTAAATTCATTTTTTCCTTTGTGTTACTTGAGAATAAAGATACCACAGAAAAAAGACAGAGAGAGGTACTGCATTATTAAGAAGGTTGTCAATTTATAAATGAAAATCATCATAATGTTGCTAAGAAGAAAATAAAAGAAAGAAAAATCCTTGAAATTTTGTATTCTTTCCACCCTGCTCACTTCGTTCATATTTGGTTTCACTTGTTTTGGCACTAGAGTTAAGTTCAAAGCTCAATTCTAGCTCCTCCAGGAAAGACAGTCAGGGTTACAGTTTAGCAATAGTCAAAATCAAAGGGAAAGAAATAAATTGTCTGGCAGTAGATAAGCTTCCTTTTCCACTTCTAATCTGACCATAACTGATAGTGCTTTTGTTAAAACCGTATGTGCTTCTGCAAGCAAAGAAGTCTGATTACAAGAAGCAAAAAAAACCCCAGTCATCTTAAAAGAGTCTGAAGCAAAAATTTAAAAGTAGTCAGATCAGAAGCAAAATAAAATAAAATAAAAGTAAAAAGAAAACCCAAAACAAAACTAAACCCATAATGACTATCTTCAGCTACTGAAGAGCTTGTCCAGTCCCCCATCTGCTTCAGGCTATTAATCTGTTTGCTCTTCTAGTGCAAAGAGCAACAAAAAAGTCCCTATGCTACAGCACATACGCAAGATACACACTTTGAAAAACTTTTTGGATAAGATTCGGTTTTAATTTGTTTCCAGGTCATAGACGCACAAAAAAAACTTTCCACTCCTGGGACAGTCACATTGTACGACTGTGAGGACTTAATTTAAATGCTGAATGAGACCCTCCACCCCTTACTTTTTCTATAAATATGTAGCTGTATAAATAGAGCACTGGGTCATTTTGGTGCATCACTGATAAAATATGGGATTTGATCAGTGATCAGTAAATCATTTCCTTCTCAATTTAAATGGATATTGTGATGTAAGTGCACAAATAAAAGTATTTAGATTATTCCATTTGAAGCTGCAATTAAGCCACTGATGTATTACAGGGAGACCAACAAATCACGGAATGACTATGTGATTTTCCATTCCCTTGATGCAGCCAGCTGAGCATAAAAGCACAAACTGATATTACATATTTTAAAAGGCTTTTCAGTGTGATAACAAGGTATCATGGTAACAGCAAGGTAAAAGCTAAGGTGGCCTTGCATCAGGTACACTGCTCCCTTTTCTTGCAGTTGCTGGATTACCTGATTCTCAGTATCCTTTTACACGAGTAAAAGCATCCAAGTTACCCCGGTTTAGTCCCCACTGTAAAAATACTAACAAATCTCTGTCATGAAATGTATTAGAGGTATAGAGAACACACCGATGGCACTGAGATGTCTTGAGGAAATACTAAAATACTAACATACAAGTTTGAATGTAAAATTTATTAAAGAGAAGACACTGGACTGTATATGTGGAAATCAAATGCAGCTAGTACACTTGTGTTCATGGGGTGCTGCTCAGTCATATTACAGAGAATTCATAGTTTCTTTTTTTCCCCCTCCTTTCTCATTGGAAAGACCAGTCTCTGCCTGAGCACTCATTTGCTGTTGACATAAGAATTACCCAGTTCTTTGTAGTACTGACATCATGGGGTCTCTTGCAGAGAGATCAGCAAGGACTTCAGCATATCACTTCTGAAGTATAACAGATATGCGATAAAAATATACACAATAAAAATAATATATTTTGCATAACTAAAATCTATTGTGGAACTACGATGGAACCTGTTTTGATAACTGCATTCCTAACACGTGGAAGACTGGCGCAACTCTGCAGCAGCACCATCGCTGACCCACTTTCACACAGACTTGCTAACACTCAGGAATGTCCAATATCTGTACAGAATAAAGAGGTATTTAACCTCCTCTGGGTAGAATATCCCAACCTAGTTCATAATCACATGCTGCCTTGAGGCCACACTTTCGCAGATACAGGGAAATAAATGTGTTGCTGTGCTGCTTGAAAGCCCCCCAGAGGCCTTAACACGGCTCAGCCAGACCTAACTTACCCGCAACATTTTCAAACGTTGCAATTGCATGTGTAACCTTCTGGTTGCAAAGGAAAAAGATCCCAGCTTGAAGCAGTTTTTAGGCAAGGTTCAGATTTAATGCCTCTTGAGTTTTAACTGCTCTGTTTATGATACATTTTGGCCCTCCAACCAGTTTCATATACTCAAAACAAAATATAAGTTTTTGTATGTTCTCAGAATATGAAGGTAGAGCCTGACTTCTATCCTAAGCCAAATTTTGCCATTCTTTTAAGTAGATTCTTAAAAAAGCATTCCTAAATAGAAATTTCACTCAAGCTTTGACGACAAGAATGTCCCCCTTTACATTTTATTCTAAATTAGAGTTGAATTAAACATATTTTTAAAAATAGTATTAAAAAAATCTAGTATAAGTCAAATTTTAGGTTTTAGTTTCACTTTTATGCGTTTTTAATTCCTGCATATCCAAGCAACTCAAGATAAGATATTAATTAATATCCTGGTCAAACACAGTGTCTTCTCAGACAGTGTCAGGGACAAAATATTACAAATTCAAGTCATAATTTTGAAGAAATCTAGCACACACAGAATTTGATCTAGAATACTTGGGAGGATGAAAAAAACTAACAAGGAATTCCTCTGAAATTCCACTGAATATTGCGTGCAGTTCTGGGCTCTCCAGTACAAGAGGGATGTGGACCTTCTAGAGAGGGTCCAGTGTAGAGCTACGAGGCATCTATCATATGAGGAAACACTAAGTGAGCTGGGCCTGTTTAGGCTACAGAAGATTGACAGGGGATCTTAACTTGTGCAAATACCTGAGGGGAGAATGTAGAGAGGAGGGGGCCAAACTCTTCTCGATGGTGGCCAGCGATAGGACAAGGGATAATGGATGCAAATTGAAACACAGGAAGTTGCACCTCCATGTGAGGAAGAACTTCTTTCCTGCGAGGGTGACAGAGCCCTGGAACAGGCTGCCCAGAGAGGTTGTGGAGTCTCCTTCTCTGGAGATCTTCCAAACCCGCCTGGATGCCACCCTGTGCCACGTGCTCTAGGTGCCCCTGCTTGAGCAGGGGGTTGGACTAGATGATCTCTAGAGGTCCCTTCCATCCTCTACCACTTTGAGAGTCTGTGAATGTTCTGGTACAAAACGTATGCTCCACCCAACAAGTGTCAGCATCAGAGCAAAAAGACTTTATTTGGCTTTGAGCCAAAAATCAGGAAACAAACCTCTGAACAATGGAGAATGGTTTCAAAGTGGTCATCAAGACAAGGATGCCAGGCACAAGAAAGAATTTCTGAACTACGCAGTTGGAAACAAAAGACATTCAAGTATGTAGGCCAAAAACATAGTGCTGGGTATAGCGAACATGGAGAAGCAGACAAGCACCACTAGTTTTGTTTCAAATGAGTTTCCAGTAGTGATCAATTACAGCACAACACACCCTTGAGTACAAAGTTGATACCCAAATATCTTTAAGGTAAGGCACATAATTTAAGTTTGTATAACCCCGTTCAGGAGTGCTCATGCCCAATACCTAAATGAACTTCTTAACCTGTGAGTTACTCATCTACCTGTTCCAGCAAAGTGTTTTGCCCTATTTCAGTTTGCTAAAACTGGCAGCAGGGTACTGACACTCTGCATAACTATGCCCTGTTTAACCTGAGAAAATACAAGCCAAGTGGCAAAGAAAACAACCCACACCTGTCAACAGGAAGAGGAAAATCAAATACTGCTCTAAGATGAAGATTTCTAAGGCAACTGCTAATTTGTTTGCAAAACCCCAGCAATTCAGCCAAGCAGCCTGTGTTGCAAGCACTGACGTGGGTGAAACACTAACCTTCATCACTTCAACCTGCAGGTCTTCGTTGAGCGAGGGAGTCACTTTGACGGCATTCAGCATCTGATTTAGCAGCTGCTTCTCGTCGGAGTCTGTCTCCACGGATACAAACCTCTCGTCAGACAGCAGCTTCTGCAGAGGCAGTGGAAAGGGACTGGCTGAGACGCAGCACAGTGAGGCACAGGCAGTTTTAAAATACCACTCGTATTTGCTAGCACACTGGCTTGGTGCTGGTAGGAATTTCAGATTGATCCATTAATATAAAATAAGAAATTACAGAAAAATATGGGGAATGCATGCCCTGCTAAAGAGCTAAAATCTTCTCCTTTCCCACGCCAACCTCTCATTTATTCCAGCATCTAGAAGAAAGCAGTCTTTGGAAACTGATGCAAGAGACCTCAAACTACTCCAAACAACAGCCTCAGCAAAACCTCCAATTATTTTTGAGGTATGTGCCTGGGTAAATCCCAAAACCTCAGGCTATGTTCCTCAAGCTAGTGTTAGCAGCCACGCTGCCTGGCAGGCACCTGGCAGTGGCATTTTTGATCGCTGGCAGGATGCAGTCCGGTGTCACTCAGAAGCTGACTGCTCGTGGCCGCCATCAAGTCCTCCAAAGGACAAGCACTGTGACTGAGTGACTGGAACAAGGACTGCAAATGTATCTGGGGGGCGCCAGGGGTGGGCCTAATACACACTGCTTCTATAGCCACACTCATAGGAGCTCCATGGTTGCACCAGGACCACAGGATCACTGGCAGTCATCCTGCAGCATACACATACACCCAAGTCTTTTTTTCCAGCTCCAGGCATATTAGAGACTCCCACTACAGAATAAAATCATCTTGTCTTGGTTACCAGCAAGCTGACCTTCGCTGCCCCAGTTTTACCACTCGGGACTTGGAGCAGTCCACTTCACCCTGCACATTCTGCAACATTTTGCACTGATGACACTTTTCAGCTTTCAGCCTGCTGCATGTTTCATCAGCTCATTCTTACTTCATACTTACGTTTTAAAGAATTTTTCCCATCGCACCATCTGAAATGTTTTATCAGCACCCAGTCTGATGATATTTAATTCACTCTACACGGAAAAAGTGTTATTCTATATAAGAGAACCTCTTTAGTCTGGTATGACCTATTTTTGCTAAATCCAATTTACATCTCTTCTCACTTTTGCCTTTTATCCTATTTTTAACCTATCCCCAGAGCATCAGTAGGTCTTTTTGTTGTTGTTTTGTATTTTTTTTTAATTCTCCATAAAACCTCGCAGATCCTAAACATCACTGAAGGACTCTACTGTTGCCTGGCTTTCTTTTTTATGCTTCTAAATAGCAGGTAATGCAGCTTTGCAACTCCAGTTCTTAAAGATTCAAGCATATGCATAGTGAACTAGAAGAGCAAAAGGGTATCTTGACTTATCTTGACTGAGTGTTCCCAAGGAAGTCACACTAGGGGGGACAGCGGTTGACTCATGGGTCCTCCACTGCACTTGGCTGATAGTCAATTTAAAATATTGTTCTAGTGCTTTAGCATTGGTGCAAAGGCAGGAATGTGTTTCAAGTCCCACTGGCCTGCTGTTACTTCTACTTAAAACAAACATACAAAACAAAAAAACACGCACCAGAGTCTTCACACTCCACCATACTCTTCATGGCAGCTTTTATGTCTACAGTTGAGCTCTGAGCTAATGACCAAAGGCGTCAGAAATACCAGTTCTTCCATTTCAGATTTCCAATCCATTTACTCCCCATGCCAAAGCCACGATGACTCATGTATCGCAAGGCCCTGGCATCATGGCTGTTTTGGGGCAGAAGCACACATGTGGAAGCCACATTTTTCCCCCTTAGCTAAAGCCTCCTAGCACTGTCTCTTCCTCAGTGCCCCAGGATCGGGCGCTCATTCTAACCAAATGCCTGACATCTCATGAGCTGGGTTAAGTGAATCTGAACGAGGCTTATGGCCTTATGTTCCCTAAAAACTCATACCTTCCTTTTAGAGAGACATTTCTTTCTGGAAATGAGAAAATTGCCAAAAATTATAGAAAAAAGTTTTTATTTTTGGTATATAATGAACACGCCAGCAGCCTATTACCCTTTTCATAAGTAACATCCCCCTAAAGAGAGGTATTTACCAATACATATTTATTTGCCCCATTAAAAGAAAAGTAAATGTTCTTATATTTTTCTACTGTCAAGTTCTTCACTCTGTGTTTTGCATGGCTGCTTTCTCCTGCAATTTCATAAGCTTTCTCATCAGATACTGCTCCTACTTTTTCCTGTATAAAAGAGAAAAAAAAAAAAACACCCAAAACACATCCTGGAAAGCACTCACAGTTGCACAGTGCCACTCCCAGACCTTCTGTAAGTCATCGTCCTAACACTGCAGCCCTCCCATCTAACCAAAGGAATTAGCAAGATTTCACTGAGTTTAGTTTCTAGGAAATTTAGCAGTCACAAGGCTTACTAAGTGAGATATAGTCACCATCATGAGCACAGGGCCACATGACAGTGAGCACCTCTGCACTTCCATCACTATGTGTAAATCCAGGACTCCGCCTGTTTTCAGAACATTTTTAGTTTCTGCAGAATCACCAGCCTTTACTTATGCTGTAAATCCTGAACAGTACCACAAAAATGCAGACACTACCGTTAGGTCTACAAGCGAGGGCCAGAGGTTTTTTTCTGCAGTATTTTTCAGAAGAAAAGTCTGGATTTCCTTTACACATCAAAGGTTTCCCCATTCCATCTGCTACCTCATAGCATAGCCGTGCTCAAGCCGTACCTGCATCCCTGCTAGAGCCTGCTGGGCCAGTTTCATGCTCTTGGATTCCAGAGCCAGTTGGAGAGGAAGGAGACACTTCTCCCTGAAGAAAGATGGAGGGAAAAAAAACGAGTGAGAGAGAGATGGCACTAAAATCAGCACCCACATGATTAAAGTTCCAGAAAAGACTGTATCACATTTAGGAAGATCATGCTTGCATACCTTAATCAAGGAAAATTTTATAACTCAAAGACATACTTTTTCCCTCTTAAGAAAACTGGTATAATTCTTCATGCTTTATTTTTAAGAATGGCTTTTTAATTAAGGAAGGTTTTCCCAAAATACTTGTCCAATGATTAACACTGTGCTGTGCACACACAGCACAATGACAGGCTCTGCACATCACTGGTGGTTCTTCAGCTCAGTGCGGTAAGCCCTGTACTTCAGTCATCCTTCTTCTGTTTGATATTCAGGCTGCCAGAGAAGTGGTTACCTACTCAGTTTTCTGTCGGCCAAGATTTGCTCTACAGCCTCTTCTGCAATATAGTCTGTCCCATCATGTCAGCTGCCTCCAGGGTATATTTGCCAGACAAAGGCAAATGTATCCTAATGGATATGGTTTCTAGCTAAATTAGCATGTCCTAGCACTATGATGTAGTTGTACTTTGGTCAGAGCATAACATTAAGTTTTTGCATGTTAGAATTGAGAATTTTTAGATGCAGTGCTCAGGCCCAGCATTTCTTCTTTGTTGCTCAAACCAAGCAATGTCTGAACCTGAGACCTCTCATTACTCCTTCTTCCTTATCAAAGGAGAGTTGCAGCATCCAGAGAACACTTGGCAGCAACGAGACCTTTCTGCAAGTCCTGCTGGTTGGCAGGATACTCCTTCCTGGTCACAGGGATGCAGCGCTCAGGCCCAGAATTTCTTCTTTGTTGCTCCTGCTTGGCAGGATACTCCTTCCTGGTCACAGATACTCAGCCCAGGCCCAGCTGCAGTCTCCTAGGGTGTCATCTATGTGTGCTACTCATGCTGGGCTTCCAGTGCCTGCTGGATTCACTCTGTTATTCCATCAGGCTAGTTATGAGGTTAGCACATCTATTAATGCTAAAAAAGTGAACGGTAAGCATTTTGATTGTGGCGTGAGAACGGAATTACATAAATCGCATAAGACAGCATCAAGTATCATCACATGTTGCACTGAGTTCTCCTGTTAGTCGTCACAGAGACACAAAGGGCTGAGACAATAGCCAAGAATGTAGCCTAGCTAGCGGGATCCCACATGAACGTCACTTCAAAACAGTAACTTTGCTAACACTTTAGGCAGTAAATAACTTTGTTAAGTAGTAACTAAATTGTTACTACCTGAAATTATTTTTGGGACAGGAGTTTTCAGCACATCCCTACCTGTGCTCACAACATCAACCTTCTCTATCATTTTCCTTTGCAGCTCCCTTTTTGTCCCAGACTCTGCCCTAATCCTCCTGTCTGACTCTACACACGACTTCTTCCTGGTCACAGGAAGACATGACATGTCACAGCAGGAACAGTACCAAGTGCTGGCATGTTAAAGAGGCCCAGTTATTTAGACCCTGCTCAACCCCTGCCCCACGCTGGCCCCAGCGCGCTGCCCTGCTCAACCCCTGCCCTGCCCCACGCCTGGCCCCCCCTGCTCAACTCCTGCCCCACGCCTGGCCCCGTGCGCCACCCGCCAGCCCTGCGCACGCGCTGCCACCGCCACAGGAGGCCGAGCTGCTGCTTGAGGTATCTCCCAAAACGCAGAGCGAAAGGGACAAGCAGGAGGATGGAAATTAGAACAGATTCAATTAGCTGAACTTCCCAGCCTCGCTCAAGATGTTTAACTGAAAACCTAATTGAGGCTGCTGCTGCCTCTGCTCCCACTGCATTCTCCGAGTAAACGAGTTGCCATTGTGTCATTTCCTGTCCCTGTTACACACAGGCAATTACATTTTTATCACCTCCACGCTACAGCTATAAAGCGCCTGCGGAGACCCTCAGTGTTTGAGGGGCTGGAGCCTCTGCCACGCTGCAGTTCAGACCTGCGTTTAGACACATCACCCGAGAGGCGGTCTGAGCACGCAGAACAACAGGGCAAAAGGTCCTTACGCAGAACGCAAGGGGACGGTGTGAATTAACAGATTGTCATTATTAAAGGCTACTACTTTTAACAATTGTGTTCTATAAGGCTGCACAGGAGATACTGTAGATCAGAATTTGGCCTTGAAATACATTTAAAGAAGGGACTGGGGTTTCCGATTATACCCATGTCCTGAGATCTCCTTGCCTGCTCCCCGGCTGCACTTCTGCACCGCCAAGCGGCCACCCAGGTCCTGTGCTCTCTCCTGTGGGGTTACACACATCAGTCACATTTTACATCTATGCAGCACTCAGAATAGGGTAGCGTACACTGATATTTCAAAATCTGCGTAAGAGTGTTTTTCCCATACCTTCCTGCAGAGAAACATGTTGGCCTTCATTTCCATATATTCATGTGTGTGCATACAGAGACGTACAGTTTTAGGCACAAAAATCATCATAACCCTGAAAGAGATGAGCTGGGTACGACATGGAGGGATCACTAAAGGACAGGAGCACCTTTTACTTGGAGGAGGGGAAGCGTCCAAAAGATTCAGGATAGGGGTCCTGGACATAGACAGATGGAAACAAGCAATGGAAATGGAAGCTAGAGGGAAGAGAGAAGTTGAGAGGGTGTAAAGAAGGAACGCTGGGGAAGAAAAAGGATGTGCCCACATACAGGTGGTTTACCTATGCTGAAATCCACACTACTTTCTGCAAAACATTGCATCTGTCCAACCAGCAGTGCTATCAAAAAGAACCCAGTTTGAAAAAATAACAATTAAGAAAAAAAAAGGGGGGATCAATAACAGA